ACTTAGGGATGTGACGCATCAGTCCTTCTAAAAGACACATCGACTTTCACGGGAGAGCAATCCGCGACGCCCAATAAGAACTCCATTAGAAAACTTGAAGTAATCGACCAAATCAAGTCGGAGGTAGAGACCAAATGCCCGGGAATGGTCTCTTGTGCCGATATCTTGGCCATTGCTGCTCGGGATGCTGTTGATATCGTAAGCTATCCAGACTTTCTGACCAAAAAAAAAAAATAAAAATACTTTAGGCGAACTTTTTTGTTTGAACAATGTTTATTTGGATAGATCATTTTACATAAACTTTGTTCGATACAGCTAACACATAATTTTTTATAGTTAGAATTACAATAACCGATGAATGATACGAAAATTTTACAGCTTAGCGGCAATAAGGTATGTTACATGGTGGAAATGGGACGATTGGACTCCACAACCGCAAACAAAACTGCAGCAAACAACTTAATTCCTCCTCCGACTTCGAGTATTAGTGACCTTATCACAAACTTCAAAAATCACGGACTTACCGAAACGGACCTTGTTCTTCTCGCGGGTTCGACTCTTGTATAAATAAACTCCATTTAAATGAACGGTTAATTTTTTAGCTAATTACATTATATGTTATATGTATATATAGGCGCTCACACGATTGGGAAAGCAAGATGCACGAGCTTCAAGAATCGGTTATACAATGAGACCAATAGCCTCGACAAAAATTTCGCCAATAATCTACGTAGAATCTGCTCGCCAGATGATAGTAAAACCGGAAACAACACGGCCGATTTGGATTACCAAACGCCAAATGTTTTTGACAATCATTATTACCAAAACATTATCGCTAATAAGACTTTGCTCCACTCGGATCACCAATTGCTCAATAACAGTGACACCAAATATCTCGTCAGTAAATATAGCAATGATAATGTTGGATTTTCCAGAGAATTTGGTCAAGCGATGATCAATATGGGACGCCTTAAGCGTACCGCAGGGGAGAAGATGGAGATACGGAAAACGTGTTGGAAGCAGAATTAGAAAATTCGGTCGGTTTTTCGTGACTATTATTATCATTATTATCGTACTTATAATTAATCCTCGTTTGGAGTTTGTGTTTGTGTGTTTCTTTTTTGAGTTGTGTGCCTTTTTCAACAATTGTTTGTTAACAATTGTCATGTGTGTTGTTGTTGTACTCTGTTTGTATGCTTAAAAATATGAATAAAAGTTTTAGTTTTGTGTATGTCTCTGCATGGAATGTATGTAAAAATTATGACATTAAAATGAACAATATAATTATTAGTAGGAAGAGAGCTTAAAGTGATGGGGATGAATGTCCAAATAACATTCTTATTAAAAAAAAAAAAATTTAAAATTGTCCGAATATTTGAGTGCCAAAATAAGAAAACGGGGCACATGTTTAGAATCTCAAATTCTCAATTCCAATGAGCAAACAGATTTATTCGCACAAATTTGCAACAACTTTCAAAATCCCATATCATCAATTGGTGTACTTTACATGTATTTTCAATATATGCGATATTGTATATAATTATAAAATGTATGATTGCACTAATTATATACAATTGTCCATCAACTACATTTGTCAAAACCTAAAAAAAAAAATCTGATAAACATTTCCTCACCCGATCAAAACTAGTAACTTTCTATTCTAAATTCAAACTTACCAGAACGAAAAATGTAGTCTACAAGTTTTATAACAACGGGAAATAAATTGCTTTCTTTTGATTCGAGATCCGCATATGAAAAAGAAACAATCCCCTCACCACCCCTTTTTGCCGTGCTCGTGTTATGCACATTTGCCTTAAACATTCGACACTGCCCATCCGTTCTCAATATGTATCCTCATACTTTTCCTCTCATTTTGTTGGCATCATTATTGTTCTGTAATTTAAAATTCCGCGTGTATTTTTGTATGAATATCACACAAGTGAGGTGTTTGATCTAATAAAAGTACAAAATAACAAGATAAAAAAAATCTAAGAAGATAATGAAGAATATAAGACAGAAAGAAATGATGATTAAGGAACCAAATATGGTTGTTAATAGAGGGATAAAGAAAAGTGATAAAAATAATGAGGAGAGGGAAAAATAAATCTATTATTATATAATGAGGGAACCTAAAAAATACATAAATAGTAACTAAAAAATAATTCAAATTCTCGCTAAAAAAATATACTAAATATTAGAACTTTTTTTTTGAAAATTTTCGTTTGTCGGTTTAAGTGGATGCTTTGATTTTTTTAAAAATTTTCATTTCATGTGCCCGTGTTAAATTTTTCTATTTAAGTGGATGCTGGTTTAATTTTCATGGTCATTTGTCGTTTTAATTTTCCTATTTAGGTGGATGCTTTGATTTGAAAACTTTTTAGCTAATTTGATTGCTATGCCCGATTTTCATGTGCCAGAATTTGTGGACACTCTCCACAGGATTCGTACCACAGACATTGATTTGAATTTTTTTTTGCTAATTTGATTGCTAAACTGGAATTGTCATTATGATAGACATTAAACCTTCGAACTCTTATAAGATAAGTTTATGTATTTTTAAACTCTTTTGAATTATGTATTTTTTATTTGCCCGATATTTCTGAATATTTATTTTTAATAACCTCATAGAAATCAATAACTCACACTATGATTATAAATAATAGCATTGTCTACCTCAATTTGTCCAATGCATCCTACGCATAATTCATTTCAAAAGTTCCTACTCTCACACATCAAACTTTCAGAATGGATCGGTCATGGGACCTTATCAAAGATATAAGGAGTAAGAGGCACATGATGAAGCTTCGGGACGTCTGCATTTTCGAACGAAGTTTCAATGCCTTGGTTTGACCAATACATTATGCACGTGTAAAAGTCATTAACTGATAGAAAGCCAATTTCAATATCCGTTTTGGATTGTAATCTATTAATATATAATAAGAATGATAATTTACTTCAAAAAATAAGGATTAACTGATAAAAATATCGCCCAAAAATTCGTTTGTTGCTACTAATGGAATTTTTTTTATGAATTTTTTTTAAATCTCCCAACCAGACACGTTTTTTGTGATTCAAAATGTGAAAATTGCCACATCACTTTATTTCGAGGAAATTGCAAATTTGGTCCCGTTAGATTGGGGCGGTCGTAATTTTAGTCCCAAGAGGCACAATTTCAATCCTTAACTAATTTTTGTTGCGCAATTGGTCCTAAATCTAATTGACCGTCAAGTCACCGTTAACTCTCAGGACTGAAATTGCGCCTCTTGGGAATAAAATTACGACCGTCCAATCTAACATGACCAAATTTGCAATTTCCTCATTTATATTACATATATATATATATAAATATATATATATATATATTTGAATATATATATATATATATTTAAATTTATATTTTTTGTACTAAAAAAGTATATAAATATATATTAACTTATTTAATATATATATATATATAACTGGTCAGTCCAATCAACCAATTTTGACTGGTTCATTGGAAACAGTTCGTTCAAAGGAATCAAACCGTTTAGTTGACCGATTCTAGATTCAATAGCCAATTTAGCCCACTTTTCAAAACAATAGTAGTTGATATTATTTTTATTTTTATTTTTATTTTTTAAAATTTTATTAACCTCTACAATTATATATATATTTTTTATAAACCATGATAGGTCGAAAAATGTGCTTATTTTATATGTTTAATGGTGTATTTTTATACACTTAATTTATTCGCATATTTATATTTTTCACCTTATTTATTATTTGGATAGATTCATACACATTAGTATTTTTATATTTATTTTCAGCTCATTAGAGTATTTTATAAACGCAAAGCATTGGACGGAAGTTCACGTAATCAATTATCGAGACGTCCGAGATACTCGTTAATTTGGCCACGGTTGAGCATGAAATTTAGGCCCAATTTTCATGGGCACGCAGCCACGTAATGCAATGGTGGGGGAGAGATTATTGGAGTGTTTCTATTTTGTTGGAGACTTAAAGCAAATTATTTGATTGGAAAGTTTGTGATTGGTTGGAAAGGAATTATTTGCGAGGACTCAAAAACCCACACAGGCAGCAACATTAAAGGACGATTATATTTTCCGTACGCAGGAGCCGAGGAGACATTCTTTCTTTACGCGACAGAGAAAAGGAACGCAGCAGCCGCACGGATAGAGAATATTACACGTGGAGGGAAGCCCCAATCGCACACGAGAGGATAATTCTATTCTCTCTTTTATCTTTTATTTTTATTCTCAATAGTATGTTAAGCTAGTATTTTTATCCAGTTTGAGGGGATGTTTGAACCCTAATTCCGATTTGTCTATGAATTGGATGATCTTTATTTATTGTTGATTAATCTAGACGACGTATTTATTTTGTTGATGAGTTGATTCATGCTATCTATGTTTAACGTTTATGAATTATGGTGTTTGATTTAGTTTGGCCAGCTAGGTTGAATATTCATAGTTTAATTGCTAGATTCGAGACTTTAATCCGTAATTGTTATTGTTTCGTTTCGTTAGTAGTAAACTAGGGGTCGTGCATCTCTAGGGTAGCATGAACATAGGTTAAATGGTCCGAGCTTTTGTGTCTGTTGCTTAGACTGATCTATTTTCCTAGGAATTAATGCTGCTAGTGTATTAAATCTAGAGAGCTTATTCTAGGTTGTCCGCTAGCTAGGTTTAGTCGAAGAGCTTATTTCGATTAAATATTCGGTAAGGGAAAATTCGGTTAACAGAGCTTGTTGTTAGCTAGGGTCGGTAATTCATTAGTAATTTAAAGAAAGCGTCGAAATTAATTAACGGTAGATTGAGATTGGGTGATAACTGAACCGAAAGCGTTCAAAATTTGTATCTAAAATTTATTATAAAGTCATTTTTTTGAAAAATGACGGCTAAATGAAATTTCGAATTCAATTTCAAATAAATTGTCATTTGAATAAGATATTATGTAAACCTTAATTCCTAAAAATCCGACAAAATCATTCCTAACAAAAGTCATTCCATAGCTAATTAGTTGTTACTATGTTTATCTAACCATCAAAAAATAAAAAATTTCAAAATCTCGTTCATAATATTGGCTATAGAGATATGTTACCATAACTGTAGGAAAATAAAGGAGTATCTTCTTCAATTTCGTTCACAATGTTATTGGCAGAGATAATATAGGAAATATATTTTACTAATCTTAACATAAATATATATCAAATAAATTAATTTGAGCAGGAAATGATCTGCAATCCCAAAAATATGGCATGTAAATGGCATGTAAATCCCAAAAAATGATATGGATTTATTTGAAATCTATTAATATATAAAGAGACAATGATATTTACTTGAAATAGCAATTAAAAATCAGCAAAAGAATATTTGGTTTCCCGCCTAAAGGATTTTACTATATAGAGTAATATTTTTTGCCAAAATTTGAAAAATCCCGCCTAAATTAATGTACAGAATCATTTTGGTCAAATATTGCGTCTATTATCTTTATTAGTTGCATGATTTAAATTTGGAATATAATATATTGACAAAATTTGCTACTATTACCTTTATTAGTTGCATGGTTTAAATTTGGTATATAATATATTGAAAAAATAAAAAAAAATTAATTTAAATTTAAAAATAAAATGTAATTATTCATAACTTACGGGTGAATATTAACTTGGACGTAAACGAAATAGTCAATTATTTATAGTTTAATAAATTACTCAACTATTTTAATTTTTTTATTTGAATAATTTATACATTAATGAATTATTTTAAGAAATGAAACATTATAAATTTTATATTTATACTTATTATTCAAATCGATTTTCGAAATTAAAACTTTGAAATGATACTTATTTTGAAACGAATATAATCAGTATTTTTTGACCCGGACCGGCCTGGCCCGGTCGACCCAGAGCTGGAACCGGTCCAGGTGGGTTATTTGGATCGGGCAACAAAGGACCCGGTCAAACCCGGCCTTGACCCGGCCAACCCGGGGCATTGACCCGGCTGGGTCAACCGGGTTGACCCGGTCCATATATATTTTTATTATTTTTTTTGTTTTTTAAAAATAAAACTATGTATATATGTTTATATGGTAAGTATTTATCATGAGATAAATATTATTAACACTTTAATGTACAAATTTTATACATAAAATATTTAATTTTGTTACTTTTATGTATATTTATATGACAAAAATACGCTATATATAATTTTAAAAATTTTATAATTAACTATCCAGTTCAGCAATTGACCCGGTGACCCGAGGACCTGCCCGAGTCGATTACTGGGTCGGGTTTAAAAAC